CAGGGCAAATAAAGCAGTTTGGTATTTCCACTGTGTGAGAGCAGTCAGAGTACTTTTTTCCACAGCGATCGTGCACCAAAGGAACTTCGACGATATGGCCACAACTTAGAGTGCGAAATCCTTTGGACGTATTCATTGATTATGTAAGGTGCTTTAACAKATACGTGTTCGGTTAGCTTCTGACTAAAACCAGAATCAGGATACTTTTCCTCCTCTCTGTCCAAAATACAGTAACAATGACCTTAATGGGAATCGAGCCCATGAACTTCTGATCTGGAGTCAGACGTGATAACCATTACACCACAAGATCCTCTGTGATTTTGTATAGTCAAGATTGTTTAATATACTCCTGTAAGCATGYCGAACGAAGTACTTTTATTGTTCATGGGATTATGAGATTGGTTATTGAATACTATTGCTTAGTTACTGTCTAACATACATTTACTCTACCTTGAATCTTCAATCAAAAGATGAAATGCAGCTCTAAGCAACAGTCAAAATTAGATAAGATTAAGCCGGTGAAAGTGACGACACCTTCTTGTACTCCATAGAATAACAAGCTAATCTCGTACACATTACACAAACCATGGCTTTCTTTGGCTTTCTTTTATTTTCATTTTTGTCATGACAGGGATGTGTCATGCGTATTTACTATTGAATTCAACTGAATAAACAACCAGCCTTTTTGACACAAATTATTAGTTTGTTCTCTCGTCCTAATTCATCGTTAACCATCCTTTTGATTTCCCATGACTTCGCTTCTTTTTGTCTTTGGTTTTTGTTTTGAAAAAGGTTGCACCCTGTTTTACTTTAGTGTCTGCAAGTCTCTGCACCCTGTATTKTCTTGGTTGCGAAAACTCATACTCTCTGCCTTGTACATGCGTCAAGTTTTTGTCATTGTTATCATCAGTTTTGGCACTAATTGGATTCAAAACGAATTTTACTTTCGGTTGCAGTTTAGCCTCTTGTAGATACTTTCTCCGATGATCGCCATCCAGCAAATGAACATCCGACAGATGGTTCGCTAATCTCACGAGATATTTTGCACCACATCCTGCAATCGGGCAGTCTCGACAAACTCGTTTAACCATGTTTACAGTTCAGGAAGAGTTAAATAAAATTACTTTATTTTTCCTAATTTTGGTTTATATATGGCCTTCAGCCAGGCCAAAAAGGCCATACCAGGCCAAAAAGGCCAAAACCAGGCCAATCTCGCAGAAAAGGACAAAAAGGCCATGGGCAACAGTGACGTTATTTTCCGTAAGAATTGACTGATTGACACCTGACTCCAGACCAGAAGGTTGTTGCTTCAAATTATCCAAAAAAAAAAAAAAAAAAAAAACAAAAAAAAAAAAAAAAAAAAAAAAGCTTCGAGGTACACTGCGAGTAGAGATTTTTTTCATGAGTCCTTAGGAGTATTTAATGTGAAGGAGCAGCCTGAGATCATAAGGAGCAGCAGGGAGCATATGAGGAGCAGTTAAGGAGCAGGTTGAGAGTAGTTCAGGGAGGACATAAATTGCGGCAAACTTTGAAAGGAAAATCATTTAGTATTAGATCCCTTAGAGGACACGTTACCCAAGCAGTGTTATTTATTGTGGCAAGACATTCTCCACGGGGTTCAATATAAAACGTCACTTGGACAATCATATTTGCAAAATGAACGATATAGAGGAAAATGAATCAACATATGATGAAGAGACGTCAAGCGAAGAAAGTGAAGAAGACAGTGAAGTAGACACGAGTGAATCAGAGTCATATGATGGTCCTGATGATGACGATGATGAGCCTGAAGAAGACTGCTGGTCAGTGTTGATCAAAGAAACTATGGACCGACACGAGATTGAATTAGAAGCTCTGGAAAACCAGTACATGGAAAAAGGCGAATCKAAAGCAGCGGCTGAAGTGCTTGCGTACAACAAAATGATCCCTGCATTTCAAAACGAGCTGAGAAACGTACTGTTGGAAAAATTGGTATGGATCCGCGCGTTAAGAAGGGATGCGTATTATTGTAAAATAATGAGAA